TAATAATAATAATAATAATAATAATAATAATAATAATAATAATAATATAGGAAATACTCTAAATGCTCTGATGGTCATTTTGAAAAATCCTTTCTTAGTGAGCACCTAGAAGCCAAGAGGAACCTACGGGCCAAATTTCAAGTTTGCAGGCTTTATGGTTCTGGAGATTTTGTGATGATGTATGAGTCATATTTTGCTTTTTTAGATCGATAGATCGATAGATAGATACAGACAACTTACAACCAATGATATTTGGGATATAAGTTCCAATCAAGGAACTATCAACTCAGACAAACAAGTTAACAATAAACAACACCCCTCATTAACACTGACCAAGACAAGCTACTAGTATATAAACCGGGAGCAAACCTCACTCCCTTCTACCATAGGATTGATGGTGTTACCTAGTTTGGTAATGAAATGTCTGCAAGAAAAATAACCACGCTCAGAGAGCACCAAGGAACCCACAGTCCTCCTCTTCCTCTTTCCCCCTTCTCCTTCCCTCCACAAACCTTCTAGCACTGATGGTGTTATCTAGTTGGGTAGTTAAATGTCTTCACAAAAACCATCAACCTGAGATGGCCTCAAGGACCCCAAAATCCTCCTCCTCCTCCTCTCTACAAACCACAATCCTTTCCAGCACTGATGACGTTACCTAGTTAGGTAATGAAACATCTGCGGGAAAACAAGGACCCACATCTAATTTCAGGAATCGAAACCTCTTGCTCTGGGTTCGAGAGTCAGGGATCCCGGGGGCGCTGAATTTAAATCCCTGAACTGGGCGGGGGGGGGGGGAGGTGGAGGGCCTCCAGAGCCCCATTTACTTCTTTCGTGGCCCTTGCTTCAAATAGTCCAAGAAAACCAAAGCAAACACGTGCCATCTGCTTCCCTGCGGGAGACGTATAGGGCTAACTCTTTTGCTGAAATAATTTATGCAGGGAGGAAGCGAACGCAGCCGAAGGAAAACCATTGTAGAACACTCCTTGATAAGCTGAAAACAAACAGATCGCAAAGGGGCAGGTGGCAACTGTCCAAGGAGTCTTCAAGAAGCAAACAGGAAACGGCAGACCTTCTGTCAAAAATACGCATCTCATCTTCAAAATTGTCTTTGGGACCAGAGAACTGGATAATAGCCAACGGCAAGGCTTTCAAAAAGAAAAATAGAACGAAGATCCAAGAAATTACATGGCAGTTTTGTCTTAAGTTTGGTTTTGAAGAAGGGCGGACTTTTCCTGGTCTGGAAGGCTTCTTGGAGGCCTCAACTTGGCTTTGAAGGCAACCAAGAAGACCCCAATTCTGGGAAGACGCTTCCATTCTCATCCGAGAAGCTTCTTCGGCTCCGACAGGATGGTGGGGAAATGGAAGGATTGATACTCCTTGCAGACAGCTGGTCATTTGCATCCTTTCAGGGGGTCTTTGAGGCCGCCTGGAGGTTTCGTCCTGAAGGTCAAGAAGATCCTTCATGGAATATGTGCTCGGGAAGACCTACCTAGCTTTCCATGGATCACAGATTTAGACAGAAAATTAAAGAGTTGGAATGGAGAAGATAGAAGATGATTAAGAGAAGGGATTCTCAATTTGATGGGTGGCACTTTTAAGCTGGCATGATGCTGCGGTATGGTGAAGATCCAACCTAGAACTTTCCTGAGTTAGAACAATTATTGTTATTCTACCTTCTAGTCCAGGCCCAAGCAGAAAACCCAAATGGTTGTCTGGTGTCTTCTTGAAAACCTCCAGTGATGGAGCATTCACAATTAATTGTCAATTAATTCACATTAATTGTCCTCACCATCAGGAAATTGCACCTTTGGTTCTAGGTTGCTTCTCTCTTCAATGAACAGCAGAAGGAACAGAGTTGGAAGGGATTTCGGAGGTCATCTAGTCCAACTTGCTACTCAAGGAGGAGAGCTTACGCTGTTCTTAAAAGCTCCAGTGGTAGAATTGGAATTGGAGCGGATTGGAATAGGACAGAACTGAACAAAAACATAGCAAAATCAGGCGTGGTCTTGTAGCAATCCGCTTTAAGGATTGGCACGAATTATGACCACAATCCCAGGCTCAGTTATGGTCGTAAGTGAAGGACGGCCTGTTCTTTTATTAGGAGAGGATGACTTGAAATCCGGGGGAAGGATTGGTGTTTGCTCATGCTATCCTTGTTTCCTTATGACTCAGTGCTTTTTGTTTTGTTTTGAAATGCACAACGGGTGATGAATACGAAGGGCCTCTACCCAAGGCCTTCAGAGCCGGCGTCTCATCGCAAAACTTGCACGTTTAACCAAGTTGGTGCTTTAGGGAGAGGCTGCATTGTGAAATTCGGAGAGAGAGAGAGAGAGAGACGCAAAGGATAATTATATTCTAAATAGGACATCAATCTGGGAACTGCGGAGAAGGTGAAGGGTACCAGAATTCCCAGAAATAAAATTACCCAGCAAAACAAACAAACACAAATTCCCCGATGAATCTTGCAGCTTCTTAATACGTGCAACGGATCGGAGGCTGCACTATCACCCACTCTGGATTTAGTCAAAGGGGGGGAGAAAAAAAAAAGAAACTTGAGATCCATTTTTGTCCAAAGAAAAGGGGCTGCAGTCGTTTATTCGACCCCCGGAGCATCGTGAAGTTTTGGGTGACATCACACTGCTCTAAGTCACAGTTTAGGGAATAAACCACGATTCCCTGGGTTCGAGTGTCACATCATTCCGCTGGGCTCCCGTCTTCGTCTTTCGAAGGAGAGAATTCCGATCCTAACTTGGAAAACCCCAATTTTAGATCTCGAATAATAATAAAAAAAATTACTTGTAGAAGAGACAGAAAGGTTAAAAAAAAAGAGAGAGAGAATCGAAAGGATGCATTTTTATTCGTGTCAGCAGAGGCGGCCAGCGTAGATCTTCAAAGCCACAAAGGAATTCTTCTCGGGCCAGGAGGCTGAGCTCTGAGAGACAGACCCTAACTTCTTCTCATTCTTGAGACGTAGGCCGTAACTTCTTCCCATTCTTGGTTGAACAAGGTCATGATCATGGAAGAGGTCACGACGCTCCACCAAAGTATCCATTCAATCCTGCTCAGGTTGATGAAGACATGGATCTCGGTCAAGGAGACCGCCGGCACTTACAGAAAGCTCCACGGGAGGTTGGGGTTTCCTCAGACCCATCGTCTACTTCCAGGTCGGCTGTTCTGATCCACTCCCAGGTCGGCTTATTGCCTGCACGTGTCGTGGAAGGCTTCCAGGGTCCGAAAATCCCGCCAGGTGGGAGGGAGGCCGTCCTGCAGGAATTTCCCACAACGTTGGCACGGAGCTTGGAACAGCTTGATGTAACTTCTCAGCCAGGTCTGAAAAACACACACACACAAAAAGGAGGAAGATTTAGCGTGGGCCACTCGGCATCGAAGCTTTGGTTGAAAGCAAGACGTGACTTTTAGGAAAGTCTTAGTTTTGGGCCCTACCGTGGCCGTAAGCCGAGGACTCCTTGCAGTTAATAGTGAAAAGGAGGGGAAGGGGGAAAGGTTATATTTCCAATCTTCTTGACAGCAGTCAATGAAATATTTTAACGGTGCCCCCACCCTCTCTCCAATTTCCTGCCCGCCATAAGCCTTTCTAATCTTCAAACTCATAAATCAGACCTCCATATTTCCCCCGCACCTTCTTTTTCAGAAAAAATACAAATAGATATCGGCTTACGGCCACGGTAGGGCCC